TGTGTGTATATATGTGTGTGTATATATATATATATATATATACACACAAACAATAGTACCACATTAATTCTAGATATTAGCCTAGTTCTTAAACCTCTTGAGTTCTAGGTATGACAATGTTTTGAAACCCAATCAGATCTGACATGGTCTAGTACCTGAAGGGTTCCAAGCACATGGAATCATGTACTGACTTGAGACACTTTCCAACAGGCCTGATGTTCACAAAGATTTCAGCTCCTTCTTTTGGAAATTCAGGACTCTTTAATGGTGTTCATTTGGGAACCCCCCCAAATAGAAGCATAACAAATAATCACCAATTATTTTGGAATATTATGTCTGTAAGGCAGTAGGGCATGGAGTGAACAGGCCAAATCCTCAGCCAGTGTAAATCAGTGTAGCTCTGTTGACTTCACTTCAGAGTTCTTGGGCTCTTCTCCTGCAGCTGGGAGACGAGTGCGGTCTAGCAGGTTAGTGTGGTGGGGCAAGGAGCCAGGACTCCTGGGTTCAAACCCCAGCTCTGTGAGGAAATGGTGTTTAGCGGTTACAGAAGACTTAATGACACCAAAACATTTAATGAATTAATGCCAAATTTGCCAAATTCTTTCCCTGAACCACCAAAAAGCTGACAATTTCAATATAAAATATTTTGATTTTCTTATTCAAAACAGCTTTGCTTGAAATTCTTTAATTTTTTTTATTAATTTCAAGTATGGAAAAACCGAGCTCAGAAAAAAAAAACATTTTGTTCGGACTAAAACAATCTCCACCCCCTCACACACACCTTTTCGTTAGCTAATAATAATAATAATTTGGGGTCATATCAAATGAGTTGTGTGTCCCCCACCACCACCTCGGTTGTTCAGAAAAAACAGAGACCAAGAGAATCGGTTACTGGCACAGGACTTACATGCCATGTGTGGTCCCAATTCCACCCCCTTGTGGCTGAAGACACTAGATCAAAGGTGATAACAGGGACGAGAACTCAAACATCTCCATGCTTTATTCACAACAGCAGTGGCTGTGTCTCTAAGCCCCCACATGTCAGTTCAACGTGGGTGTTACTCACACTCAATTTCCGGTGGAAGCCGTACCCACAGAAGTGTGAACTGCTATTTAGCACAGGTGCGAACAGCTTGAGAAGCGGACTCACTTTTGCAGTACGACTGCACCGGCCCTCGGTCCCGTTGCATAGCTGAGCTCAAGGGCCGGCTCAACGTTTCCCAAAGTTCGGCCTGTGACGTTGCAGTCTATATGATTTTATAAAAATATGCTAATAAGTTACTATAATGTAACTGGAATATGCTTTATGCAAAAGGTCTCTTGTAAGGTATCATTACAAAGCTTATAATCTACTGAGTGTGATCACCCTATTTGTATCAATGTACCACTCTTGTATTTGAAACTAGAAATATGAAATATAACTTTGAGGGCCTATTGTAATTATGCAAACTGTGGGCCATTAATGGTGGTTTGGAATCTTGATAACTTCCAGTAACCAGGACAATTTACTGCAGATGGCTCTGTTTACCTGTAAGTCTTCCTGTATATGTGTGTGTGCTGGCAAGTGGGTAATGAAGTCTTCCAGTGACATGTGATCATGTCACCTGAACTGGAATCCATCTTTAACCTGGTGTCTTTCCATTGAGAAGGAGGGGGTGGGAACCCAGAGAGGGACAAAGGATTCCCGCCTTATGCAAAAGATATATAAATGGGTGGAACAGAACAAAGGGGGGAGCCATCATGAGGAATCCCCTAGCTACCACCATGGAACAAGAGCTGTACCAAGGGAAAGAATTGTGCCCAGGCCTGGAAGGTGTGCAGTCTGAGGAAAAAACTTACTGAAGCATCTTTAAGGGTGAGATTATCTATATTCAGTTTGATTAGACATAGATCTGCATGTTTTATTTTATTTTACTTGGTAACGTACTTTGTTCTGTCTGTTACTACTTGGAACCACTTAAATCCTACTTTCTGTATTTAATAAAATCACTTTTTACTTATTAATTAACTCAGAGTATGTATTAATACCTGGGGGAGCAAACAACTGTGAATATCTCTCTATCAGAGGGCAAACAATTCAGGAGTTTACACCGTATAAGCTTTATACAGGGTAAAACGGATTTATTTGGGTTTAGACCCCATTGGGAGTTGGGCATCTGAGACAAGAGCACTTCTGTTAGCTGCTTTCAGTTTAAGCCTACAGCTGTTAGGGGACGTGATTCAGACCTGGGTCTGAGTTTGCAGCAGGCTAGCGAGTCTGGCTCAAAATAGGAGGGCACTGAAGTCCTAAGCTGATGGGGCAAGAAAGCAGGGACAGAAGTAGTCTGGGCACATCAGGTGGCAGCTCCCAGGGGGGTTTCTGTGATCCAACCCATCACAT